AGACACCACCTCCATCACTTCCTCAGACGAGTTCACCACATCTGACCCCGACGCATCTTCCGATTCACTCGACTCTTCACCCCTCACTTCCGAGGAACTCGATGTCGTCCAATTCATGAGAATGGAGCGCAGAGATCGCAGTTCCCGACCACCCTCATCTACCCCMCCCTCCCGCCTCAAGAAACTCACCCCCGAGGAGCGCACCTACCTCCAAGCAAAAGGGGGTTGCTTCCGTTGTCGCCAATTGGGGCACCAACAAACCATCTGCCCCAACGCCGCACGATTCACCTGTCACTCCACCTCCACGCGACCCGCAACCTCCGCATCACCGCCCTCGGCAAGCGCGGGCTCCTCCTCATCATGAACACAGTCCCCAGGACACTGACCCGATATCAACATTGCATATGTCAGCCTACCCATCAGTGACATCCTTCGTCGCACCGATGGCCCATCTGACATCGACGATTTGTTTGCCTTCCCCCTCTCCAGCGACGCCCCCTCCATCGGACAATTCCCAGGCATCGCAAACACCTCCCACTGCCTCATGCTCCTCTACCCTTCCTCCAAATGCATCCRCTATCACCTTCTCCGATGTTGTTGAGGAACAAGCCCGACACGATCAGCTTGCCCGCATAGGCAACGAACAACGCCGCCTCAACACCATCATCTCCACCACCAACTCATCTCATTTCCACCTCAAATTCATCGCTGCCACCCTTGGTGCGTCTACAACTAAGTTCCGGGCCCTCCTCGACATTGGAGCCACCGRTAACTTCATCACCGACGCGTGTGTCCGCAAAGCCGGTCTTACCTCTACCGACTATGACTCCCCGATCACGATTCGCCTAAGGGACAAAGACACCACCGTCGTAGTAGACCGCACAGTTCCCGAGACCATCATGACCGTCGGAACTCTCCGCAGTCAGGTCTCGTTTGATGTGCGACATCGTCTTAGGAACCCCGTGGCTGGACCGCTACATGCCATACGCATTCCACCCCAACTTCCTTCGCCTCACCAACCCYCCCRMCACAACCATTGACATCCCCTATCTCCCATATCCGACCTCCCAAGGCTCTGTCACCCCGCACCAATTCCTCCACATGGCTCGCCTAAACCCCGACTCCGCCTACTACTGTCTTGTCCTTGATCGCGAAGGTCCCAAGGACTTACTCCCGAYGGACAAACCCGATCAAGCCCCGCCCGCCAACCCCGCCATCACTTCAATCCTCGACGAGTTCAGGGACGTCTTTCCTGAGTCCTTACCCCCCGAACTACCTCGGGATCGTGGCGTATCGCATACCATCGATTTAGAACCCGGACATTCTCCACCTTGCCGCCCTCCATACCAACTCTCTGTCC